AGACCTGGAGAGATCATAGCATGCACAAAAAAAAAACAAGACAGAGCAAAGCAAAGCAACAAAAAAACCCACAACCCAAAAAAAGCCTATAAGTAGTTCAAGGTCTGTTTGTTGACATTTATTAGTGTTTTCCAGTTGAGTCTGATAGGGTGCCACGCCCTGGCCTCACAGTCTATTTTTGGTATTCCCTTGGGACTTCCTTGCTCTGCTCTCCTTACTGTTCTGTTGCACACCATGTTTCGCCTCAGTATGGGGTCAGATCAGGCACAATTCCCACACTGTGTTTCCAGTGTTGTTTTCCTGTAGCGCTATAGGTCAGTGAGGAATGTTGTGTCTCGTGGTGGGACCTGGTCCTATAGTCCTCTGTGGATTAGCTGCTATGAGCAGGATTATCATCCTCAGGGTTTGGTGGGCCAGGATGTGCTCCACTTTCTCCCTCCCCCTTCCTTGTACTGTGTGCTCTGAGACATGTCCCTCTCCCTGAGTTGTAGCTGAAGTGCTGTCCTCTGGGGTAGATTCTTCTGGGGAGTGGGGGCTGCCCATGTAGTTGGGATTGGCTCCTTGCTTCAAACATTAACTTTCAACATGATTCATCATCACTGACACCTAATTCATGATGAAGTTTTAAAAAATCAACCCTATGATATTTTGTTAACCATCTTATGTGAGATAATTACCGCTGATACTTTAATAATCATCTTATGTGAGAATCAGTAACCAGTGGAAAAAAACTTCTTGCCCAAAACCCATCTGCAGAGTATCTATCAGATTAAGCCACTAGCAGAACCCCTCTAGCTACAGGCAAAGATCGGGAACAACCTGACTGTGGTAGTTTTATAAGCTGTTGTCAATCTGAGGATTAAGAATGAAGGGGTGGTGCTTAGCCTGTCAATCAAGTCGCAGCTTAATAACCTCATTTGGAGGCACTAAGGAGATATATAGCTCACTGGAGGTGGGACACAGGCTGACTCCCTGGGAGACATTGCAACTGAAAAGACACACGGAGCTACGCTAATGCCAAGCTGGAAGAGCCACGCGGAGACACCTGCCAGTGCTGAGATGCTTTCAACACCACTTGATCCACAAGACTTCCCATCCATTGGCCTGTGATCTTCCTGGATCCGGCACCAGTGCATGTGTTTCATGAGTCTGAAGAGGACTTTATAGATTGGTATCAAACATATGGGCTAATATCTGACTTATAAACTTGATCTGGACTGGGCTGGGATGTTTTACTTTTTATAACTTTTTTGGGGGGAGATATTTTCTTAATGTACAATTATTCTTTATATAAAGCTCTTTTTTATACACGAGTGTCTATGAATTTTGTTTCTCCAATCTACCCAGACTAACACACTTTCAAACACAGATCATTGTAACCTGATTATGCTGAATCAAACTTGATATTTAGCTAGTTAACATCCCTCTAGACCCAACCTGAATTTGTTCTAGGTGCAAAGATCTCTTGTTTGTTCAATAATAAAAATTCCTTCCCTGGCTTTTGAAATATTGATAGATGTCTTTTCTTTCTGGCTCATTGTTGGTATTTTAATCTTTAAATTACAATTGTTTTATGCTTACCACCTCATTTTGTTTCTGTTCCTTAATGTTTCTGTTGGGTTTACCAGTTTGTGAAGCACAGAAGAAGTGCATGAACAGACGTGGATGCATAGAGATAATAACCGATGCAAGGATTTATAGAGGATGTAGAGCTGGGTAGGGGGTAGATGGGGAAACTGAGAGGGTTTGGGAAGATAACAGTGAAGGTGGGAAGGGAATGGAGCACTAGAACTTAATTTGATTATATAACTCATTTTAAAGGTGATTTAATAATGGGGGGGAAGGTTCTGAAATTGATTGTGGTAATGACTGTACAAATTTTCTTAACATGATTGAACAATTTAATTGTATGATGTGGATTATGTGCCAATAAAACTAAAAAAAGAGAGAAAAACGTCAACAATTCCTTCAACTGTTACTATAAAATTTTATTTTAAAAAGTTATACATACAAAAAAGAAAAAAATATATATATACACACAACAAACATGATTAAACATTTTTAAGTTTAAATGAAATAAATTATGAAACTTTCTTTTTACAAAGGCAATTTCAAAATATGGCAAATTCAAATATTTCTTGTTCCTCTATTTTCTAATACTATTTTAGCAAACTATTTATTCAATCGCTTCTTTAGAGTCACAAGATGTTCCACATTAACATCATGTAGTGACAGTACCATTGCTTTAGACAAGGAGGGATTAAATGAAATAGTCATCAAACAACACAAATCTATAAGCTCTCGCTGGCATTTCTGCAAACCTTGATGAAATTTCTGGTACTGAAGAGGATCCTTCTTTAGCTGTTTCATTTCTGGTACTGAAAACCCTATCAGACTAGTAAGTATTTCATCTACAAAGTCTACATCTAGATATGCAGTGCCATCAGAAATCTTTGCAGTTATATTCCAAACACCACCAGAGCTTGAGAGATTTCCAGTTAAGGTTACAATGAATGCTTTGACTCTGACTGTTGTCACTTCTTTTGGTTTACTGGCCATTAGAACAGACAAATAGGTAAAAGGTGGCGAGTACAAATCCACAGTGCTAGAAAGATTGCTGCTATTCTCTGGTGACCTTAAAGAACAAGTCTGTAAATGATCATTTTCATTAGATACTTGTAAACTCTTTTTTGGTACATAATTGACTAGATCGCTACCTAATATTTTTCCATTTAAGGAGTGTTCATCTATACTACTAACAGTTTGCTTTACTGTATTACCTGTTTGGGGCTTTATAATATCCTTATTTATAAAATCATGGGACAGGGAACCATTATGATCAACTGAAAAAACACTACTATTTTTCTCCCTAGCAGATGGACAACCTAAAAATTTGTCTTTATTAGTTATTTGTTCAGATACATTTTTTTCATTCCAACTATCATTTCTATTTTTGCAACTCAAAGAAAAATTATTAAGAGTACTAGACTTAAGTGATATTCTTTCTACACTTTCATCTGTGTTCCTGTTCAGAGCCAATGGCTGCAATTCTTTAGTCTTCAGTTGCTCCTTCTGGACACTTTCTTCTAAAAGCAAGACCTCCTCCAATGAAAAGTCATCTAATTCTTCATCAGTGAAAGGCACAGATTGACTTGGTGGTTCCTCCTTTGGTCCTGGTTCAAAACTCAACTGCCTTGTGCTTTTACTATCTGAAGAACTATCTGTGCGGAAATATCCTTCTTCCAAGTGGTCATTGTTTGCTATAAGTTCAGTCTTTTCATCAAAACTTGCCAAAAGTTCTTCATCAGAAGGTTCTACTGCAGGATCTAGAGTATTTGTAGTTCTGGAGATACTTCGGTTAGAATTATTTGGGATGACTGAAACTAAAGGATCAAGTTCCCCAATTAATCTTGCAAGTACTTTTTCTTGGCCATATTCTTCTAAAAGAGCATCTACTTCACCTCCTAACATCTTTACATTTTCTGGTTTCAATAAGAGAACACCAAGACGGTAAGAAATATTTCCATGAATCAAAATTTTTGTACCTGGAGGAAGAGCACTGTGAAGAGTTGGAATAGGCTGAAATTCCGTTCCCTGTATTTGTATAATTCCATCTGTCATCTGTAGCATCAGCATTCGTGATGGTTTTGCTTCCCAAGGTCTCTGTGGTACTTGTGTTTCAGCTGTAACAAGATCATTTGTCGTATTCCTTCCTCTCAACTTTTGTATCTGGGAATATGCAGGTTGACTTACATCAACCAATGAATTAATCTGCAGAGCATAAAATCCAGTCAGTTCTCCTTTTGGAATTTCTAAAATGTCATCAGGTAAAACAGGATGCTCCAAATCTCTCAGATCAGTTAGGAGCCATTGTTCAAACACTTGCTTATTAATTTGTGCCTGACTCAATTTAACATTACTATTTTCTTCTTGGATCCAGTTAATACAAGCTTCCAGCCACAATGGAGATACTGTAATATGCCACGTAGCAGAAAGCCAGGTTTCGGCTCTTGATGCAATACCAGTTACACTCATTTCTTTTAAGTAAAAGAAGTATTATTCATCAATTATCTATAAGAAAAAACAAAAATTATAATTTAGTATATTTAGGTGTAGTTTCTGTAATTCTCTACAACACACAAATACCCACTACCAGTAAGTCAATTCAGACTCAGAGCAACTCTACAGACAGAATAGCACTGCTCCCTAGGGTTTCCAAGGCAGCATATCTTTGTACGAGCAAGACATGCAGTGGATTCAAACTGCTGACCCTGAAGTTAGCAGCCCAATGCTACACCACCCAGGCCCTTATAACACACAAATAGATATAACCAGAGGCTTTAGATTTTTGTTTCTTTATCATCTGAAAATTCTTCGGGTTTCTGTACGACCAATTCAAATGCCACAAGTAGTCACATGGTATACCAAGAAAAGCAAAAGATTTTGAGACAGAAATACCATATATACTTGAGTATAAGTTGACCCAAATATCAGCTGAGGCACCTAATTTTACCACAAAAACTGCATTAAAAATGTGCTGAAAAACTTGGCTTATACACGAGTATATACAGTATCTTGATTTGAAAGGTGACTGGTAAATTATAAGCTAAGCAATGTAGCCTCTTCTAGTTCCTAAATGCTTCCTCCCCGCCCCCACTATCATGATCCGAATTCTACGTTGCAAGTCTTGCTAGACCAGAGGATGTACACTGGTACAGATAGGAACTGGAAACACAGGGAATCCAGGGCGGATGAGCCCTTCAGGACCAGTGGTGTGAGTGGCGATACTGGGAGGGTAGAGGGAGAGTGGGTTGGAAAGAGGGAACCGATTATAAGGAACTATATGTGACCTCCTCCCTGGGGGATGGACAACAGAAAACTGGGTGAAGGGAAACGTCGGACAGGGCAAGATATGACAAAATAATAATTTATAAATTATCAAGGGTTCATGAGGGAGGGGAGAGCGGGGAGGGAGGGGAAAAATGAGGATCTAATGCCAGAGGCTTAAGTGGAGAGGAAATGTTTTGAGAATGATGAGGGCAATGAATGTACAAATGTGCTTTACACAATTTTTTTTATTTTCAATTTTTTTCTTTTATTTAAAAAAAAAATTTTTTAATCATTTTATTAGGGGCTCATACAACTCTTATCACAATCCATACATACATCAATTGTGTAAAGCACATTTGTACATTCATTGCCCTCATCATTCTCAAAACATTTCCTCTCCACTTAAGCCCCTGGCATTAGGTCCTCATTTTTCCCCTGCTTTACACAATTGATGTATGTATGAATTGTGATAAGAGTTGTATGAGCCCCTAATAAAACGATTGAAAAAAAAAAAGTCTTCATGCCTCTCACTCAGTTTTCTCATTTGTAAAATATAAATACTACCATCAATATGACAGGATTATTATAAGGCCTGCAAGACAACTATTCATAAAGTATAAAGTGAAATCTCTGGAATATAATTAGTAAATAGTTATTAATGTATAAATGTAATCATCATATTCTGATTATTTAAAATTTAATTAAGAAGCAATGTTCACTGAGGTTCCTTTCTCATCTATAAATCAGACTCTCTTAAAATTAAAAACACACCTATTAAAAACACACCATATGTGTTTGCCACTTAGCACTTAAATATGTGGCATAAAGATAAAACTAAAACAAATACCAGAGATTCAAAGCTGATGTAACACCTCTTATTTGTTGGCTAAATATTCTCAATAGTTCTGCCACATAAAACATACTTATTTTCTCAATATGATAACAACATACTGCCATCAAGTCAATGCCAACTCCGAGCAACCCTATAGCCAACGAAGAACTACCTCTGAGTTGCTTGAGACTGTAACTCTTTTCGGGCTCAGAAAGTCCTGTCTTTCTCCTATGAAGTGACTGGTAGTTTCAACTACTGAACTTACAGTTAGCAATCCAACTCATAACCAGTACACCAAACACCACGGAGTAACAAGCGCTGGTTCATAAAGTAAAGTGTTCCGTCCACAAATGAAGATGTTTAAGAGTTAGAATTTATAAGTTTTAATATGTCCCTAAGAAGACTTACCACTTGTTCAGGAGCACATGATTTGATAAGAAGTTGTGTAACTGGTTGTTCAGTGGAGTGCTTGTAACCGCTACTGCTGAGAAATGGTTCTAGAAGTCAAGACAAGAAACAATAAAGGTTATAAGACAAGAAAATGTAGAATCACTTTGTTTGTTTGATTAGTATAAAAGCTTTGATACTGTGATCAATCAAACTGGAGGTCTGGAGTGACAGAAACACAAACCAGCAACCTTGAGAAAGTCATATACTCTCTCTAATCTGGCATTCTTTTCCATATACTTACCTATAGGGCTACTATGAATATAAAAGGAGACAGAAGAAACAGTGTACTGTATACCATATATACTCGTGAATAAGCAGAGTTTTGTTTCTTTTTTCCAGCACATTTTTAATGCAGTTTTTGAGGTAAAATTAGGTATCTGCTGATATTCGGGTTGGCTTATGCTCGAATATATGTGGTAATACATTGGTAGCATACAGCTCTAGAGCCACCATCTTTCACTTACAAACTCGATGCCTGAGACAAGTTACTGATTCATAGCATTTTCTGCCCAGATTTGTGATAATGATTAAATAACTTAGTCTGAACAAAACAGCACCTGACACAAAGAACTCAGTAAATATAAACTATCGGTAGACTTCAAGTAGTCACTATGGTACTGGTAAATAGCAGTTCCTTAAATTCAAATTGATGCTATCTCTACAATGTCTCTCCAACAAAGGGTGTTTCAGTCCATATCTCTCAAATCCACTCTAACTTTCTAACTACTAACTTTCTGAATTATCATGGAGTCTACTCAGAAAAGCAGCCAAGGTTTCCTATTCCCTACAGAACACAGTCCAAATACCTTATCATAATATTAAAGAAAAAAAAGGCCTCGCTTTTAACAATGAATTATCTAGTATTTCAAAAGGAAAAAAGGCATAAATACAAAAAGACAAAGTAGACTAATGAAATCCCATAAAGATTAACAACTTTTGTTCATCAAAAGACTTGTCAAAAAGTGAAAACACAAGCTAACTGAAAGAATATCTTTGGAAACCATATTCAACAATTCAACAACAAAGAGATGAATGACTCAATCATAAAATGGGCAAAACCCTGAGAAGACATTTCACCAGAGGACATTGAAAAAAAAAAAAAACAGAAGACATTCAAATAGCTACAAAACACTTCATACTCAGCGGCCTTACCCGTCAAAGATGCAAATCAAAACCACTTCAGTCTCACAAGAATGATCAATAGAAAAAAGAAGTCAGATAATAACAGACAAGAACATGGGGAAACTGATACGGTAATTCACTACTGCTGATGAGTATGCAAAATAGCACAGCCGCTGTGGAAAATAATGCAGCCGTTCCTCAAAAGATTTAAAATAACCCATAAGCCCAAACCCAATGCCATTTCCAGCCAATTCCAACTCATGTTGTTGTTTGTTAGGCGCCATCACGAGTAGAGACTTTCTATGAGCAACAGAACAAAAGACCACCCAATTCTGCACCATCTTCACAATTCAGTTTGAACCCTTTTGTCAATCAGGGGCCTTCTTTTTCACTACCCCTCCACTTCAACAAGCATGATGTCCAATCTCCTGATAAGATGTTCAAAGACCATTTCTCACCATACTTGCCTCTAAGGGGCATTCTGACTATAATTCTTCCAGGAAGCATCAAAAGACTGAAAGAATACAAAGAGACACTGTACCACATTCTCCACTTCAGGAGGTAGAATATCAGCAAGAACCAATTATACTGAAGGAAGAAGTGCAAGATGCACTGCAAGCATTAGCCAAAAATAAGGCTCTAGGAATTGATGCTTCAACAAGATGATGAAGCACTAAAACAATGGTTCTCA